ATTTATCATGTGATTTCCCAGGCTTTGTAGAAATGTCCATATGGCAGTGTGAACATCGGCAGAGATTTAAAGAAAAAGTGTTGCAGAAGAAAATTAAAATGGGAACTGTATGTTGGGAGTAGCATTTTTGTCTGTCATTTCAGTCATGGCTGCGGCATCCATCGCTAACATCGTCAAGAGCTCCCTAGGACCAGTGGGCCTTGACAAAATGTTGGTGGATGACATTGGGGTGAGTTTGGTGGATCGCATTCCACCGTCTTTTTTCTTTTTTATAACCGTATATAAAGTATTTATTAATTTAGTTCAAATCTATCTGTAGGACGTGACCATCACCAACGACGGCGCGACCATCTTGAAGCTCCTGGAAGTGGAGCACCCGGCCGCCAAGGTCCTGTGTGAACTGGCCGACCTGCAGGACAAGGAGGTCGGGGACGGGACCACGTCTGTGGTGAGTCAAAAGGTCGTCGGTCCCTGCCATGTGGTGCGCCGCCGTGTCCTGTTATAGTACCACGCGTCTGCCGACTGCTACGGATGTGTGGCTATGCTAACAGGAGAGAGAAACTCCCCATCTGTGTCTGAAGAGGATATGCAGCCTCTCTTCTGCTGCCTCTAATGAAAAGATGGAACAGTGCTTTTTTTTTTTTTTTAATGTTCAAGCAAGTCTACATTTTAGTGTTTGATATTGTTCAAGGGAATGGGCATGCGAATAAAAACGTCGGAATAAGGGATCTTTACTAATTTACAAAATAGTAAACGATGATTCCAAAAAGTGGTTTCAAACTGAGTTTGTCAAAGCAAACAAAAAACAAAGAGAACTTGCATGTGTATGCTGAAATGCTGATTGGAAAAAAAATACAAATTGATGTGGAATGATACTGAGAGGTATGAATTGTTTCCTGTCTCCGTCTGATGGAACAGTGCTTTTTTTTTTTTTTTTTTAATGTTAAAGCAAGTCTACATTTTAGTGTTTGATATTGTTCATGGGAATGGGCATGTGAATAAAATTGTTGGAATAAGGGATCTTTATTTTCCAAAATAGTAAACGATGATTCCAAAAAGCGGTTTCAAACTGAGTTTGTCAAAGTAAACATAAAACAAAGAGAACTTGCATGTGAATGCTGATTGGGAAAAAAAATACAAATTGATGTGGAATGATACTGAGAGATATGAATTGCTTCCTGTCTCCGTCTGTGTTAGGTCATCCTCGCTGCGGAGTTGTTAAAGAGTGCCGATGAACTGGTCAAGCAGAAGATTCACCCCACGTCGGTCATCAGCGGCTATCGCCTGGCTTGCAAGTGAGACACCCCCCCGAAGAAGGTTGGTCATCTGTCGTCGACTCGAGATGGTCTGACACAATTTGACTCGGTTGCTTCAGGGAGGCGGTGCGTTACATCAACGAGAACCTCACCATCGGAACAGATGACTTGGGCAGGGAGTGCTTGCTCAACGCGGCGAAGACCTCCATGTCCTCCAAGATCATTGGAGTGTATCCTTTCTGCTTTTGAGACGTTACCGATGCGAAACCGTCTCTGCGCGATTGGCCGCCTTAACCCGGAGTCGCCAGTGACGCCGACTTCTTCGCCAACATAGTGGTGGACGCCACCCTGGCCGTGAAGTTTGTGGACGGCAAGGGAATGGCCAAATACCCCATCAACTCCGTCAATGTGCTGAAAGCGCACGGTCGCAGCCAGAAGGAGAGCTTCTTGGTCAACGGCTACGCGCTCAACTGCACGGTGGGCTCGCAAGGTACGTCGCTTCCGGAACATTACAGAATCGAAAGCCCCATTTCCCATTTTTATTTGCTGCCGTGTCTTTTGCCATGACGTTGGCAGTGATACGCGTGGGATACAGCATCCTGGCTTTGGCGAGAATGTGTTCACGTTGGCTTGTTGCGCGTGACAACGCTTTCCTGGCCAGACACTCATTGCGACTTGTATCAAATGAAACCTGCGAGGAACTTTTTTTTTTTTTTGTCTGCAGGCATGACAAAGCGAATTATCAACGCCAAGATTGCCTGTCTGGATTTCAGCCTGCAGAAGACCAAGATGAAGATGGGTGTCCAAGTTGTCATCAATGATCCAGAGAAGCTGGACCAAATCCGCCAGAGGTTGGTTGAGAAGTTTTGAAAAAAAAAAGAAATAAAATAAAAATCCCATTTATATTTGCTGTGTTACCGAACACGTAGTTTGCACAGTGCTAAAGGTGTTCTCTCAAATGAGCGCTGTACTAAGCAACCAAGCGTAAACCACCAACCATCGCGAGTGAGCAACATGCAAATGTTTGCTGCAGAGAGTCCGACATCACGAAGGAGAGGATCCAGAAGATTCTGGCGTCCGGAGCCAACGTGGTGCTGACCACCGGCGGCATCGATGACATGTGCCTCAAGTACTTTGTGGACGTCGGCGCCATGGCTGTGAGGAGAGTTCTCAAGAGGGACCTCAAACGCATCGCCAAGGCCACGGGCGGTAAGACGACAACCCGACTGGACTTTTCTACACGTGGCCTTGGTGTTCTTTGAATATTTTTGTTGCCGTTATCCGTTTCATTAGCCACCATCTGCCCATCTCTTACCAATTTGGAGGGAGAGGAGACATTTGAGGCCACCATGCTGGGTCAAGCCGAGGAGGTCGTGCAAGAACGCATCTGTGACGATGAGCTCATCCTCGTCAAGAAGTAAATGGCCAGAAATTCACTTTATCCAGAGAGCACTTTGAAAATAACCACTGCTGCATACAAAGTGCTCTCTCGAATTTTTTTATTTTATTTTTTTAATCACATTACAACATAAGACAAAAGATATTGTCATCGAGATTCATCATTTGTGTCCATCTTCTCCCAACCCGTAGCACCAAAGCGCGCACGTCGGCATCCATCATTCTACGCGGGGCCAACGACTTCATGTGTGACGAAATGGAGCGCTCGCTGCACGACGCACTCTGCGTGGTCAAGCGGGTGCTGGAGTCCAAGTCGGTGGTCCCGGGAGGGGGCGCCGTGGAGGCGGCTTTGTCAATCTACTTGGAGAATTACGCCACCAGCATGGTAAGGCAAGCGCCGCGTCGCAATGCGGCCCACCGTGTCGACGCGACCGATCGGTGAATGCGCCGGTTCGGCGTTGTGATGTTTGCTCAGGGCTCCCGAGAGCAGTTGGCCATCGCCGAGTTTGCACGCTCGCTGCTCGTCATCCCCAAGACGCTGGCCGTCAACGCGGCGCAGGATTCGACGGATCTGGTGGCCAAGCTGAGGGCCTTCCACAATGAGGCTCAGGTCAATCCTGAACGCAAGAATCTCAAGTGGTGAGTGATTCAGCGTCTTATGAAAGCCCACCAAACCATGCAAAAAAACCCGCCATGCAGTATTTGACCAGTGGGCGGGGCTGTGTGGTTTGCATCAGGATCGGTCTGGACCTGTTGAACGGCAAGCCCCGAGACAACAAGCAGGCGGGCGTGTATGAGCCCACCATGGTGAAGACAAAAAGCCTGAAGTTCGCCACGGAGGCGGCCATCACCATCCTGCGCATTGACGACCTCATCAAGCTCTTCCCCGAGCCCAAGGAGGGCGGCCCGTCGTACCAAGACGCCGTACGCTCGGGGTCTCTGGAGGGTTAAGTTGACGTGACGGAGCTCTTGCTTCAAGTGTATGTAGGCTTTGCACTTGGCCTGTTTACTGAGTCCCCACTCCCCATCCTCTTTGACTGTAAGTGATTTGCTTTCTTTTGTTTTGGACACTTAATAAAGCTCCAATGGGTGGTAAGATGACTGTTGATTCAAGTTCAACATAATTTTGTGGTTCGTCTGTTATTTGAAAACAAAAAATGTGGTGAAAAGTGATCTTATGCCTTATTGGAAAGTCCAATACACTTTACACGTGGCTATTTATATTGGGTTCTCCACCTGGAAATCTGGGGGTGTCCAAACTCTTTTTCGGGTGTCTTTCTCGTGCTTCTTCAGAGCTTGCTGATGAGCTGCTCCTTGGAATCTGTTTGCTGCAGGGAGTGATGGAAAACGGGCAAGGCAGCGGCGGCCTGTGACGATTGCAACTGGACATGCCTGCTGTAAATAAATGTCACAATTTGGATTTTAAGTGGATACCCTCCGCTGACCATGACATGTAAATGCCAAAAGTTTGACTATTTAATATGATTCTCGACACATGGGGTCCGATACGATTCAAGGAAGTAAGGAATTTAAAACGGTGGGATTCGGTTTGATTCAGTGGCATGATAGTTCCATATGTTACGGCTGCAGCTTTTTCCACATTGATTAACATGCAACATGTAAAAGACTTAAACGTTTTCTTTGTCAACGGCACCATGCCACAATTGTGATGGAACAAAATAACTTTTCATCCTTAACATTTTAGGATGAAACAAGTTTGAAGACGATTGGATACATTTTCTAGGAGGAGTTTGTTCAAATATGCTTTCCTATAAATAGCAACAAGTTTGAAGACGATTGGATACATTTTCTAGGAGTTTGTTCAAATATGCTTTCCTATAAATAGCGTCCCTGCCAATTTTTGTAGGTCTAATTGAAACTTACAAACAAGAATGCTTATAAGAATTATGAAACTCAAAATTTGATGCCCCATCCTCGTTCTACAAAATGTCGAAAAACCCCAAACTCTCGGATAAGGGGGCAAAAGTGAGACCCCTGTATATGTGCAAAAATTGTACTCTGTATAAACGTCTTTTTTGGACGTTTCTGCGTGCTACACGTGCCTCCGAATTTTCGTAGTCTTGGACCGATCAACTTCTGCGAGGGGGGGCACCTTTTCTTTGTAATCTGTATCAGAACTTCAAAATATTAATTTGTGTGCAACGTTTGGTGAGTTTCGTTAATGTTCTTTGCGCAGTGGAATTCCCACAGAACATCACTCACTGCTCGGGCCCCGAAGGAGGCTCTTTTTTTAACCCCACTATTTCTGTACCGTTGTCGTAATAAAGCGGAACGTGTCTTCCGTCATGTACTGTCTCTTTAAATGTGGCGGGCTGCCCTGTTGTTGCTGTGCTGGAAACCCCGTACAGCCTGTTGGGGCCCCAAGATGGCTGACTACTCACGGGGGACTGTTAGCAAATATCCGAGCAAGACATCGCCAATGAATGACAAATAGCAATACGGTGTAAAGCAAAACTCTCGAAGTAATTTGACGCTCACGGGTCGTTGCTTGGTATTGTTTTTGGGATGCATACCTACCAGAAAGGAGAGGGTTTTCTCTCCGCGGTCCCGAGCCAGAACATGGCGGAACACTTTGGGAAGAAATAGCAGCTAGCGCTAGCCAGCTGGCGCATTATTGAGTGCTATTTGGAAACATTGTTTTGGATTTTTAAAAACGCTCAGTACTGCCCGTAAATGTGAAAATAATGTTGTCGGTGTGCAGCTGGGGTCATTTTGCCTTAACACAGTCATACGAATCGCTTGGATTTGGCTTACATGGAGGCAAGTCAACTCGTTAGCTTTGCTATTCGCTAACGTTGTGTATATGTGTGTGTGTGTGTGTGTGTGCAACACAACTAACAACCGGAGAGTGTTTGGGGTAAAAATAGTCGACTTCTGGATTCATTCGCATATATATGGACACGTAATTAATGTCAACATTGCGCGGTGTAGCAGATGGTGTTCACTCCTACCCCCTCCGCGTTGTACATTTGTCATGTTTAGTTGTTACGACTCTTGACGGTGGCTGTTATGTAATGCGTGGTGATTTAAAAAAAAAAAAAAACATTGGTGTAAATAATATAGTACAAATACATTGGTGTGAATATAGAGTTGCACCTGCTACGGAGAAGGAATTGTCGGGCCATCTGACAAGCTTGAAAGGCCACTGGCGTGTTCTATTGTTGGACCGGGTCCGAGAGGTGAATTGGAAGCTGTGGCGTTACTAAGGTGAAGCAGGTACCCTGTAACAACCCAGCAGGGGGGGTGGGGTGGGGGTGGAGGGAGGTGGAGACCGCTTAAGACCACCCGCCAGGATGACGGACACTCGGCGACGAGTTAAAGTCTATACCCTCAATGAGGACAGACAGTGGGATGACCGCGGCACTGGACACGTTTCGTCGGGGTATGTGGACCGGCTGAAGGGCACGTCTCTCCTTGTGCGAGCCGAAAGTGACGGTGAGTACGTTGGGCAGGCATAGTATTTCTACTTCATTACTCGCAACTGCCAATACCTTCCACTCTGATTTGTTTTCTCTCTTTGCTGCCCTCAAGGTTCCCTACTACTGGAGTCCAAAATAAACACAAACACAGCGTACCAGAAACAGCAGGTTGGTGCTTTTTTTTTTTTTGCCAAGCTCAAGTGCCGTGTCACCATTTCCTATGTGTTGATATGCACGTTTGCTTCTCTGTTTTTGACAGGATACGCTCATCGTGTGGTCCGAGGCCGAAAACTACGATTTGGCCCTCAGCTTCCAGGAGAAAGCCGGCTGCGATGAGATCTGGGAGAAAATTTGCCAGGTTACTGAGCCGTGTTTGTCAGCGACACCTGTGTTAATTTGCTGTCCAGGGCATTGCGAATTTGCGTTGAGAAGTGAGAGACACAAGAGACTCTTGACTCTGACTGATTCTGATGATGTCACCAAAGTTCCCAATTCAAGAACACAAACCATCTCGATCGCTGGACTCCGCTTAAAGCAATAACAAAATGAGAACTACTCAATATCTATAGCCCTGTTTTTGGCTTAGCTAGCTAGCTGGCTATTATATAAACCCCCACTAGTGTCTGTTTCGGCACTCATGAGATTTTTTTCTTTCTCAAGGTGCAAGGCAAAGACCCGTCTGTGGACATCACCCAAGATGTAGTGGATGAGCTGGAAGAGGAGCGCTTCGATGACATGTCGCCCGGTTTGGAGCTGCCGCCGTGCGAGCTGAATCGTCTGGAAGACTTGGCGGAGCTGGTGGCCTCTTCGCTGCCGTCGCCGCTGCGGCGCGAGAAACTGGCGCTGGCCGTCGAGAACGAGGGCTACATCCGCAAGCTCCTCGAACTGTTCCGCGTGTGCGAGGATCTGGAGAACCGCGAGGGTCTGCACCACCTCTACGAAATCATCAAAGGCATTTTCCTACTCAACCGTACGGCGCTCTTCGAGGTCATGTTCTCGGACGAGTGTATCATGGACGTCATCGGTTGCCTGGAGTTCGACCCCGCGCTCCAGCAACCGCGGCGGCACCGCGAGTTCCTCACCAAGACGGCCCGCTTTAAGGAGGTGATCCCCATCTCGGACCCTGAACTGCGTCAGAAAATCCACCAGACGTATCGGGTGCAGTACATTCAGGACATGGTACTGCCCACTCCCTCCGTCTTTGAGGAGAACATGCTGTCCACCCTGCACTCCTTCATCTTCTTCAACAAGGTGGAGATTGTGGGCATGCTTCAGGTGAGCTCACGTCACCCATCCGCGCGAGCTTAAATTTGGGGTTCCAATAAGGTGCGTTGATTCGGGATCGATCCATTACCAGCCAGGCTGACTGAGAGATGTGACGGTCGAGAAGAGATGCGTAAACTGAAAGTAACTATTCCAATTTTCAGTTCGCTTCATAGACGATGCGTTTTGGAAAACGTCATCAACTGTTGAAAACTACACGGTGCTAATTCCTTGTTTAAGGTTTCACGTAAATTTTTCAGGCATGCTTATGCCGTCCGGAACGTTTTATGAAAATTTTATTTGATTATATTAGCTGGCTCAGCCCAAATTTCATATACAGAAGACGCTTGGGAAAATCATGTAAAATGAAATACTTCCACGGCAAAGATGACTGGACTGTAAAAACTTTGTCTGAGGTCTTCCATCGGGAACATTCCCGTTGTTCCATCTGACTTTTTTTTTTTCCCCTAAGTGATCATGTGACCTTTTGTGTAGAGTGTGTGTCGCTGTCTCCATAGAGACCAAAAAGTGTTGTGTCAATCTGTTGAGTACAAGAAAATTGAATCGTGTGTGTGCGCGTGTGTGTGTGTGTGTGTGTGTGTGTGTGTGTGTGTGTGTGTGTGTGTGTGTCTGTGTGTGTGTGTGTGTGTCTGTGTCTGTGTGTGTGTGTGCGCGCGCGCGCTTTTGCCTCAGGCGATGTTCAGTTGAAAGTTGACAGCGATATTTTGGCATGAAGACTCTCGAGGGCAAGTGTCGATTGAAATGAAGCGCACACTTTCATTTGAAGTGGTAGTTTAGATGAGTACGTTACACATAATGTTGTCATCCCGAGTAAAACGTCGTACTTTGTAATCTTGACAAAATGTCAACTGAGCTAGCTGGAAAAAAAGTATATTCTTTGCCCCGATTTAAAACAGAAATGACCAATTGTGATTGATTGTTTGCCTTTTTTTTTCACTTGCATGGCACGCCGAAAATGAGGACAGCGATCATATGATATCTTTTTTATGATTCATTGATACATCGTGCTCACCATTTTTTTTCCCCCTCTCCTTCAACGACAGGACGATGAGAAGTTCCTGACCGATCTTTTTGCACAGCTAACAGACGAGGCCACAGACGATGACAAAAGACATGAACTGGTATTGCCGCGATTGGCTCCAAACCAAACCAAACCAATCCTTTCTCGATGTTCGTTTGTTTTTTTTTGACGACGCCTTTTCCCTTTCCAGGTGAACTTCTTGAAGGAATTCTGCGCGTTCTCACAAACATTACAACCTCAAAACAGAGATGCCTTCTTCAAGACTCTGTCAAATATGGGGATTCTCCCCGCGCTGGAGGTCATACTGGTGAGCGGAGACGCTCGAACGCCGATTTGGTTTGTGTGCCGCAATCCCGAATCACGATCGGGATTTCATCCGGTGCTTTTCTGAGCAAATACAAGGAGCCGCCGCACTTGTTCGTGTTTTCCTGCTCTGTTTTTTTAGCGGCAAATTGAAAGAATCTGAGACAATTGTTCCGATTTTTTTTTTTGTTTTTTTTTCCGACCAAATATTAGACTCCCCAGATTGACACAACCTCTGCTTATGACAGGGAATGGATGACGTTCAAGTGCGGGGGGCGGCAACCGATATCTTCTCTTATCTGGTGGAGTACAACCCCTCCATGGTACGAGAATTTGTCATGCAGGAGTCTCAGCAGAACGATGACGTGAGTACTCTGGATGAATTCAAACCAGCTCATTGAGGGGCCGTGCAGCTGATGGGGCTGCTCCGAACTCTGGTCGATCCAGAAAACATGCTGGCCACCGCAAACGTGAGTTTGTGCAGCCGTGCTCCCAAACATAATAATATTTAAAATGTGTCGCAGAGTGAATACATTTTCAAACCTGCAACAGTGATGGAAATTGAAAAATTGATTTCTCAGGTCCTTGAAAATGTTCGATAAAGTTTTGGAAATGTCCTGGAAATATCACGCGGGTCGTGTTTTAATACGTGTCCAGCAGTCACCGGCGCTCTCGACCACTCTGCCTCCGCCCTGTGTGGATTTTGAAATGTTTGATGTTGCCAAGAAAATGCCAGGGGAATGTAATTCGTTTCAACAAATTTTTTTTTAAGGGAAAAAAAATTACTTTTCTGAACTCTGCAGAAGCGACTCCCATCAGAATTGAATGCAACAAGTGATGTCGTCAATGCGCTTTTGTTGACAAAAACACAGACGGCGGCCATATTGGATGTGTCGAATCTAAACAAAATTCTCATGTCCTCGGCCTTAAATCAAAGTCTCATTTACGACAACGCCTTTTCCCCCAGAAAACCGAAAAGACAGAGTTTCTGAGCTTCTTCTACAAGCACTGTATGCACGTCCTGTCGGCTCCGCTCCTGGCCAACACCACCGAGGAAAAGCCGAGCAAAGGTATACCTCCGCCATGTCTGCGTGCGCAGATGGTGCTTGTGTCCAAAAGCTCTCGATGAACAAATATCCCTCCTCTCGCAGATGATTTCCAAACATCCCAGTTGTTAGCGCTCATTCTGGAACTGCTGACGTTCTGCGTGGAGCACCACACCTACCACATCAAGAACTACATCATCAACAAGGACATTCTCCGGAGGGTCCTGGTCCTCACCGCCTCTCAGCACGCCTTTTTGGCACTATGTGAGTTTGCGGGCTTTGGCCACACGCTAACTCTGACCCCCCACCCCCTTTTTTGGTGCGTGTGTAAGCATTTTATCACTTTCTAAATGTTGTTCTCCCCCCCCGCCTTCCGCCAGGTGCCCTGCGCTTCATGCGGCGAATCATCGGCCTGAAAGATGAATTCTACAACCGCTACATTATGAGGAATTTCCTCTTCGAGCCCGTCGTGAAGGCCTTCCTCAAGAACGGCTCGCGCTACAACCTCATGAACTCGGCGATCATTGAGATGTTTGAGTACGTCCGCGTGGTGAGTAGGTGTTTAAATAATTTGGGCTTCAACAAAACAAATACCTGAACATTGTCAAATAATGAATCATTTAAATCAGGGGTGCCCATTACGTCGATCCTGATCTACCGGTAGATCTAGGATTCATCCCAATTAAATCCGAAAGGTGTAGAGGAGGAAAAAAAAAATAAAAAAATTGTGTGTCTTTGTACATGTTAGTAATATATTTTTGTGTTAATGCACACTGCACCCTAATCATCCTATCAGTCTCATTTTCCCAAAGAAAGATTTAAAAAATAAAATAAAATAAAGCAGGTAAATCTTTAACCTACGTTGGCGCGTGACTACGTCAGCGGAAGTTGTTAGCGCTCAGCAGTCTGCAATTGCAGCTTGTGATCAGAGCTGTTGCGCTATATCTTTGATCGTCATTATTCTCATTCAGAGTTTGCTTCGTGTACAATTCACCGA